ACTCATTAAACAATAATTGTAAATAATATTCGATGACTCAATTTTTGACGTGGGTCCGATTCTCGGCTCGGACAGTGATTTCCCGGCGTGGTCTTGTCGGCCATGTCTCAGTATGGTGGTCGATGGCGGGTTCGATAGTTTCTCCACCGATTTGGGTCCAGCTATTGAAGGATGGTGTGGTTGGGGTGTTAGGTGCGACCTTGGTTGCTCGGCTCTTCCGAGTGGCCGGGGGCTGATGTGGTTCAATTCTCGCTCTTGGGTCCTTATTGCTGTGGTTTCGGGATGCCGACATGCCAAGATTCAGGCCAGTGGTATTGGTCAGGTTCCGGGGTAGCTGGTGTGTGGGGGCTGGTTGATTCTCTTCTGGTTGTCGGTCGACTTCCTTCTTGGAGTGGTTCGAGGTTCGAGGCTCGTCCTTTGCTAGGCATTAGGCAATGGCGGGAGTGGCGCTTCGAATTTAGGGTCAAGCTGTGGGATGGTTAGTCCTTGTTTCGTTGGTGTCTTGTGCAGGGTTTGGCTTACTCGTTGCGGAAGGGCCTTGTTAGTTGGTAGATTAGTTCTGTTTGTCTTAGGTTTTTTCTCCTTGTGCTTGTGCTAGTATTGTTTAGGTTCGTGTTTTTGGTCTGGGTCATTTGGCCTCTGTGCGCCCGAATGTCAACTTATTATCCTGTTGGGATCAACACTCGGTCATTACCCTGTTGGGGTCTTTGTGTGTTGTTTTCTAGTTGTATTTTCTGTTCCCGAGTATTACCCTGTTGGGGTCGGTTCTAGGCGGTCTTTTGACATGTCCTCCCACTTTTTCAGTTGTTGGCTTTGTATTCAACTGTTTGCTGTTTGTATTCAGCTGGTGGTTGTCCGTTAGAACATTTGTGCGCGTTCTATAATATTTCTACTATTTAGAAAAAAAATATGTAATACAATTTACCTATATTAATTTACTGAAAATATTATATGAAATTTTAATTGTTCAAAACTACATAAAACATGTCTATTTAAAATTATTATACAACCAGTACGGTTCACGTAATTAATACTAAATTACATTATATTCATTTCTAAATAAGTGTTATTTTGAAATGCTTATTCTGAAATTCGATTTGACTACAATGTGATTAAATAAAATAAATATTTTCAATAAAATTTTAGCATATATTTAAAATCCATGTGAATAATAAGTATAGTTATGAAACTTATATGTTTCATTATTTAAAATGACTTTATTTTTGAATAAACTATCCAAAATTAAAAAAAATAAGTAATTGAATATAATTTATTAAATTTTAAATAACTGACTATTTAATTTATGTCCAAGTTAATATTAACCCGTAAGTTATAAATAATTATTTATTTGACTTTTAAGTTTGGACTACACAATAAATTTTCTTATATTTATATATCAATATATATATATATATATATATATATATATATATATATATATATATATATATATATGTGCTAAAATTTGATAATCATATCACCTCGATGTTATAACAGATCAACCTCAAATTCGACTTTCTTACTCATACCAAATAAAATTCACACCACTTATTTTGTTTTCAAAATTTCCATACACTTTTACTCGTACCAAATAAAATTCATAATGTTTAAATTTGGACATTTCATAACAAAATGAAATCGTTCACTTTATCACCCACTTTATACCATAAAATTTGACATTTGTTAATAACAACACATTCCCTACAAAAAAATGGTCATCGGGTACCTAAAAATAAAATTGCATACTTTATACCAAAAACTGAATTTATTAATTTTACCAACTTTATACTATAAATTAATTAATTAATTTCTAGATGCATTTTTTTATACTTATTTTAAATTACTATGTTTAGTAATTTTAAAATTTTTAAGATGGATTTTAGTTTATTTTCAAGTTCTAAACCTAGATATATATATGTATAGAGATGCCAAATTATCCGGCATGTGATATAATTTTTTGGTATGCAAAATTAACCGCATGTTTTTCATATCCTCATAAAATGTCCATACTTATCTAATATGAATTTTGAAAAATACAGATTTTTTGACTTGTTATTTTTGATAGATAATAATCCTGAATTTGCCATTAAAGTTTGTATTCCTAAAAGACGCACACAATATTTTTTCAAACTTCAGAAGATTAATTTAAACCATGAGATATAACCACGATATCTTTATTCTAAAATTTAAAATTCAAGCATATAAGATAAAGATGTTATACTCAAAAAAATCTATAGTTAATCATTTTTTTAAATGTTTGAATTTAAATTTTTGACCGAAAATT